AAAAAATGCGGGCCAACCTGAATGAGAAAAAGTGCAGCACTAGGGACTGGGGAGAAAATAGAGAGCTCTAAAGAAATACGAATATTGTAATGGAATCTGATAACCCCATGATAATGGAATCAGCAGCAGACAACTTACAAGATATCTCGGCTCGTAAGTAGCTTAGGCACAAAACATAAAAGTAGTAGTTAATACCGAGCTTCCACACGTTAAGGGGGCCCAACAGTATCCTGCTGTATTGTGGAGATTTGAGTTTTTTCGTTCAGTCTTCCTTGTTATTAATTTAATTTGCTTTTGCTCATGTTAGTACTCTGTCTGATTGACTTGTTGGTATGTGAGAGCTTTAAGGGGAAGCAATACTACACGACTATTTAATCCTATGCAAATTCTTCGGCGCCATAATTACTGAGTTTGTTGCGAGGAAAGGAACAGCAAAAAAATGAAAATGGTGTAGGTTTTCGGAGTTCAGAGCGGCCTTGATTCCCGTTGCATTTTGAGTAGGCAGCCAAACTGTTCTTAACTGATTCTAGTTAATTCTAAAAAAATTCAATGCGAATAAAGCCGATAGCAATAGCGGAAATTGCTCTAGATTACGTTAAAACGGTGCTCTTAAGGCGCTGCATTGAGTTCTGCAGAGGGGAATGAATTGGGACGGTGAGAAACAAAAATTAATATGGCGGCAAGTGCAAAGTATCCGCCTGCTCGCCGATGATGGAAACAGATTACCACATTTTTTTCTTTCTTTGTGGTTGCTGGTGAGGTAAGAGATATTGTGAAAAAGTGCCTTTTGAATGGTTTTGCTTAAGGCCACTGCATGCGTGCGTGAGCATGTATCTGTTGCGTCTTTAGCATAGCTAGGTGATAAAGTGCAAGCTGAGATGGAAACAACCGCAAAGGTTACTGCATGTCCTTAGAATTTCGTCTTCCTTTGAAAGGTTCTTTTTCGTCAAAGAAGTCAGTATGCCTAGATTAAAATCATATTTTGTCTTCTGTTTATTGTGAAAAGAAATCAAACGAAGGGGTTTTCCTGCTTTAGTTATTATTTTTCTATGCTTCACTAGTATCCATGTTTGTGAATACTTCCTGCAATGAGCGCAAGCTTGACAGGGCGTCGTCAGACAGCTTATTTTTTATTGCAGACTTCACTTATTTAAAATTGAGTATTCAATTTAAGTTTCATTAATTTTTTCCATCATTATTTTATTTGTTTAAAAAAATATATTTGAAACGTGACATGCCCATGGATTCAACGTCCAGAACTAACTGGTTAATTATGGTATAAGGGGTCTAACACCTGCCCAGTACTTATAAGTTACAAAGGATATTTATTGTAATAATGTTTTTTGAAACAACATCAAAGGCAGGTAAAATAATTACGTGTACTTCTGGATGTCCGAAGAATCAGAATAGATGTTGATGTAATACTGGGCAATAGAGTTGTGTAACATAACTAGGTGATGAAGTGCTGGAATCTACATCCCAGAAGAAGAGAAACAGATACTAGAGCATACTTCGTAGCTATTACCATGAAGACTGCAATTCCATTAGGCACCAAAGTTTGTATTTCAATAATACCACCTAAATTAAATATTTGACAATTAAGTTTTGGCGAGATGCTACTGTAATTTGCAACGTATTACCATCAAGTCCGTACCTTGTAACTAGGCTGCTAGACAGTTTATATGAATTTTACCTTGAAAAGATTCTTTGAATCACATGCCCAAGGCAAGTAAGGATGCGTGCATAGATTTTGGGGTCTAGAGCATCCTCGTATAGATAATTTCTTTCTGCAGTAATAACCTATGGTTATGCTATCAATACGTTTTCCATTCCGTCCTCCCTATATTTTATAAAAAGTATTGCATCAGATCTTCCATACCTAAGAGTATGGTTTCCTGTATTCCTGCAATAATTCTATTAAGAATTATTCCAAGCAAAATTGGAGGTCTATTCCTCTTCTTATAGAGCAGTAATAACTCGAGCAAGAAAACCTCTTTGGATACTGAAATTAATAGCACTTTTCTGAGGTTAGAGCACCATGTTGATTTTGGTGGATATGGATCTGATCGTACGTGAGATCTCACTTGAGACATAATAAACATAAGTTAGTCCAGTTGGCCTGGTATGTTTCTTTTCAGGCCGAACGCTTCCCCTAGATCTTCGCTATTTAGTTAATGTAGACAATAATATTGTATTAGATAATATTTTTATGCCGCAGTCCTTTCGTACTTTTCGAATCTTATCACCATGGATAGCTGAACCTAGTAGATTTCCGTTACTCACTTCAGTACAGTCAATTTGAAGAATATCTCAATATAAAAAGCTACGCTTTGCTTTTACAGAACTCGAGTGAGTTTGCATGTGTCTCTTGGTGCGGTTATTGGACTAATATGTGGATTCTTCTACTTCCAAGAGTCTATGTTCGGTTATAAATGCCTTACTCGAAATACATCACATATATGCAAAAGCCTCCACCCAGTTAACTGACAGAACAACACCAGCCTTCGCAGTCATATATTTTCTCCCTTTTCGGTCTTCCCAATGTGCTTGCGATTTGCCAGTATTCCGCGAGCATTAGACTAGGAACCCTAATTGTAAACTCTACACAACTAGCTTCATAACAGCCATCTGTAGCTATTTGCAGCTAGCCAAAGTAAGCCTAGGGCCTCTCTAGTATACACTTCCTAAATGTTAACAGTAGAAGCTTACAAAACATTCACCAGCATAAAAGCGAAATGAAAGGCGCAAATTGCCACTCCTTTGGTTTCGGAAGCTCTCCTCTGCCTTTCAGCATATCTTTAAATCCTTGGCTAGTACAAACCTACTTTTTGCGAGAAGCAAATCAGCCTTTCTGTGCCTTTAAGTCGCTGTCTTTTTCACTTAGTTCATACACAGGTTGTCAGCACTGAGGAGTTGCATGCAGGTAACGAACTTCAGCCCAGGAAGAGGGAAACAAAAAGTTAGAGGTTTTCCCTGGCTGCTTGCCACATTGGTGCTATTTATGGCAAAGCATCTTCCTCTGCATTCCACTTGAAGCAGAGGTTATAAAGTATAGATTTAACCATACGATCCTTTATGTAGGGTCTCAAAAAATAGACCCGCGTCCTGTAGCGCATACAGTTCTTCAGCAATCCGGACCTCCACTAATTTTGCTCTTGAAAGGTCACTTGCACACTGAGTCCCAGTCCATTGACTGGTGTCAGCTAACAGCAGTTAAGAAGCATTGCAGTTTTCCTCATAACACATCAAAACATCTGCATTTCCCATGCTTACTGAACAACATTAACTTGGTGCTGGAGAGCCATCAATCAAGTTGCAAACAAGTAGATTTCACTCAAACAGAAGTTGCAACATCCAGTTCACGCCTGGCAGATATGCGATGTTACATGCGTTCCCTCGAAAGGGAATCTAAAATCGATCGAATTGCAGTCAAACTTTACCGATCCACAACAGCTGCATCGCCCGAAGGCCACAATTGCTGCCGCTGCGATTTAGCTGTTGATAACTGCAAATTTATGCATCTCTTTTTTGTTCTTCGCCGCTCTCGCGACAGCTCATATTTCATTGAAGCTGTGTTGCGAGCAACAGAAGCGGAAATTCCCCTCATTTCAGACTATGTAGTGTAATCATCTGCATTTCTTCTTGCGCATTTGTGTGCATGTATGTTCGTTCCAGAATGACACACCGAGTGCCTGTCGCCAGTGTGCTGCTGCGAGCATCCGAAGCTCGTGGATATCTTTTCGTATCGGTAGTTGAGAGTTTTCCAGGCAGTGCAACTTTCAGAATTTTCACGTGTGTGTTCAGGGAGTATTTGCTGCCAGTAGGAAGTAGCAGGTCGGGCCAAAAAGGCTGCAGGCGATGATTGCGTGATAAATAAGCAAAATAGAAGAGTTGTAGAGTCGGGAGCTAGCTGCGCTTTCTCTGAGTTAAGCTGCAACACAGCCAAAGAGACGGCCCTGCATTGTTAGCAGCTACAGGAACGTTGCCAGAAGCGATTGACAATAGTGAATCCTGCATACCCACATAGAGCAAACAGCACGATTTGACTAGTTTCACCTTTTATTTGAACATTCTTTCAGGATTGATGCAGGCACAGCGCAGCGTGCCGGGGGACTGAGCAAGACTTCGGCGGCCAGTTGACCGCTCACGTAGCACCGTCTGCTTCCTGTGTTCACGTTTATTGTTCCGTTTCAAACTTGACTTGAAGGTTTAATCAAATGTATAGCTAAATCCATTGACTCAAAGAAGTTTCAGTAAAATCCGCTGGACGTTTACAGCTGTATGAGATTCGTGTCTGCACTGGGACGTATTGGCGACTGTTTCCAGCAGTGGCGACAGCTTGTTCGTCGCTCGGGACAGCGGATATGGCTTTGTAAAATCCATAACTGCCTCTAAAAGCTATAAATATGTCCGAAATTTGTGTGCTTTTTGTAGAAATTGTCGACTGTTTTCAGCTTTTCTATGTCTGCGGCTTGGGGCGTACGCTCGCCCTGCAACGGTTGAGGCGGCAGTGCGGAACGCCGAAATAAAAGTGGCAAGCGCGATTTTTTTCAATATATTTGGGGGGCTTTTAAGTATTTGAAAAAAGTTTAGAAATGAATAGATCTTTTTTGTTGTTGGTGGTCCGTTGAGGCCAGCTGGGTGGAGCGAGTGGGAGGCGCAGGGGAGGCGATCGAAAGGGTAGGCGAGCAGAAACGGTTCAGCTAGCTACGGGTAAATAACAAGAAAAAAGTGAATTTCCCATTGGAAATTCATTGGAATAAAATATTTAGTCAAAATTAAAGATGGTTTTCCCGCGTCACGGCCTAATCGCCGACCCCTGGGACACTCAAGGCTAGCTCTCGCAGCCTCTCGCTCGGTGACTGCGAAATCGCTGCGTGTGCCGCCCCCTCCCCATGCAACTCCCTGTCTCACATCTTCTTCTTGACCGTTTTTTTTGATTTTGAATTCCACTTCTGCCGGCCTTTTCAACATTTCCGGTCAACTTTTTTTTTGTCACAATGGCGCCCATTTTCCAGAGCGCAGCCCTGTGCTTCATGGCACTCTGCGGACTGAAGTCTGCATATGCTGCTGAAGAAGGAACACCGTCACCTTCGCCGGTGGCAGCAGGAGAGGGTGAGTGACCATTTTGTTCTGTCAGCAAAGCTTGCCGTACGTAAGGGCCTGGGACATTTTGCAGGAAGTGCGGCTTTTGCTTGTTCTTCGCAGACGCCTACCTTGCCCTGAACTTGGCTCGGCGGGGAGGGCTCTCAGTTCGGCTTAATGCACTGACAAAGCAGCAGACTATCGTTGACACCGTTGTCGCAAAGCTCACAACACTGGCCGGCGATGATTGCGGACAAGTCAATTCCGTGACTTCTGCAACAGTAAGTTTCAGGTTTGGCTGCTCGCTCAGAGGAAGAGATCAGAAGATTTTGTAGTATCTATTTGTCATTATATTGTATGGGTTGTATTCTGCAGGCTGAGGGATTCGTGGCCACGTTTAGTGGTGAAGCGAATTACAAGAAGATAGTACAGGAAGCTCTCAAGCCGGCAGTGCAGAAAATGACGTGAGTCTCAGAACAGGAACCGAAACGGTGTTGTCAGTAAAAACTGGAATGCAGAGAGTAAAAGAGAAAATGTGCGTTTGATTCTTTTGCAGGACTTACCCGAAAGATGGAAAATTCACTGAGGCTCCCTGGAACGACACCCAAGTCGTGAACATTCTGCACGTTCTCTGGTCCGCCAGCACAGAAGTTGGCTGCGCCGTGACCACGAAATGCACGGACAAGCAGCTGCTTGTTTGCCAAATGACCCCGAAGGGCGGAAATGGTGTTCCTTTCAGGTATGCATGCGGGGAAACTTGGAAGTTTTGGGATTTCTGGAGGCTTTCTGATGCCAATAGGTGCTTGGCCATTTGTCTGCTGCTGCTGAGTGGAGTTTCATCTTTGCTTTGCGAGGTTTCTTCTTTCGGGTTTGCAGCGAGGAGTTCTACAAGGCCCTGGTGTCCAGGACCGACTCCATTGAATCTATGACTGAAGCCGACCTGAAGACTGGCTCGAACTCCGGATCTGCCGCAGTTCCTTCAGTTCTGCTTGCGGGTCTTGTTGCAATGCTAGCAACAGCAGCAGCATAAAAGAAAAGATATGAATAGGGCCTTTCAGCAGCAGCAGCGATGTGGGTGCTGCGGGCTGGGGCTGGAGCAGCTTCGCTTCATTTGGAATTTGCAAAAGAAGACAGTCTCAGAGGCACCTGCTTGATAGGAAGAATGTGCAAGGCCGGTGCCCGGCAGCAGCAACAGAGAAAAAGAATTCTTTGAGTCCTCGGACTTGTTGCAAAATTGCAACTCTGCACTGAGACGAATTCGCCAACTCACTTTTTCGCAGTGCTAAATATGGAGCCTTTTTACCAACATTATTCCCTAGCTTTAGATTCCTTCTCTTCCTTTTTCCGAGTCTTAATTGAAAAGTTCTTCAAATTTCCTTTAGCTTTAGATTGCTTTTCTTCCTTTTGCCACCCTTTTCTAGAAATAGAGCTTATGTTGTTTTATTAAAGTCCCAAGTTTCTTTTGTTTAATCGGAATATCAAATTGTTTCATCAAACGCATGCAAATAGTCGAATACAAGGAAAGCAACAAAATGGTGGAGGCGTTTCAGAAGAAAAACTAATTAGAGGAAATGATCAAAATGGGAGAAGGATGAAGAGAGTTGGCGAGTTAAACAGACTGCAGATCGTCGAGAACTGAATCAATCTACAGTAGATAATTACTTTTCAGTGAAGTCCATATAAAATAGATAATTGCTTTTCTGTTAAGTCAAAATATTAGAAGTGGTTTCGTTGCGGCAGGTAAACCCTAAACCCTAAACCCTTTTGATAAATTTACTCCATTTTATCCTCGCCGGGGTTTCCACCCTTGGGTTTACACTTTCGGCTTTTTTTCCGAATTTTGAAATAAACATTTCATTTAGAGAAAAGTATTATTATTTTATTGGGCGACCCAGCCCCTGAGGTGTACGTACACCCGAGCCTTTCTGGCTTCAGTTTCTCTAAGCCTGTCCGCCTGCTGCTTCCCTAGGGGCTTCTAGCAGCAGCAAAAGCCAGAAATCGCTACAGAGTGCAGCAGAGGAAGCAAAAGTGACCAGTGGTCACGCAGATTCGTGTCCACCCATTCGTAAGACTGTTTGCTGCTATTGGCTTGGCCAGTTCTTTGCCGCAAGCCCCAGCAACAGGCTGCGCTACGCTGGCTTTCTAGTTGCAGCAGCAGCACAGCTATTATCAGCAGCAGCAGCAGCAGCAGCAGCAGCAGCAGCTGCTGCTGCTGCTTGTATTCGCGTGCTGCGGGCTTGGGGCCTGCGGCTCCAGGGGCTGCACGCAGCATCGTGCGCATTTTTGAAATGCTTATGGAGCTTTTGTTGCAGCTTTAAGAGATGTAAAGAAGGAAAAAGTTGTAAAATAATTTTTATTTCTGAGATTGTTGCAGCTAGTTAGGGCTGAGAGCCCCTGTGTTGCTGCCGAGCGGGTGGCCAGGGGTTTCGGAGGCCCCAGCAACCCCGAAAGAGTGCTTCTGCTCGGGCTAAAAAGGAGATTCTGCGGCTCAATAAGTCTTTTTAATAAAAAGGAATTTGACAATTCAAATATTTTGCAAAGACAGCCTGAAATTCGGGCTCTAGGCCGAGGCCCCCGGGGGCCCCAGTGCACATAGGCAGGACCGGTGCGGCGGCGGGCCCCATGAGGCTCCTTAGGGTTTAGAAGAATAAATTAAAAACTTCAATTCAACGCATTTTTTGCATTATAAATTCAAGTGAAGCCTCTGAATTTCGGCGGGCAGCAGCAATGCAGCTGCAGCCGCCTGGCTGTCGAGACACCGCAGAGGCATGCGTGTGGCGCCAGGGGCTGCTGCAGCAGCAAAAGCTCCCAAACCCCCAACTGCAGCAGCAGGTTCCGCGGCGGCCTCCCGCCGGCACAGCAGACCTGTAGGCTTTCCGCTGCCCCAGCAGCAGCAGCAGCAGCAGAATCAGCAGCAGCAGCAGCCGCAGCAGCTTTCTGGCCGCTGCCGACGCCAGAGCTCAGCCGGCTGAAACCTGCAGAGGCCCCCGAAGTCCAAAGGGGCCTTCGGCTGGTGTCCTTGTCCCTTCTCTCCAGGGCCTTCTATGACGGAACAGCAGCAGCAGCAGCAGCAGCAGCCGCAGCAGCAGCAGCAGCAGGCTGTGGACAGCAGCACGCAGATTCAGCAGCTACCTCCGCACCTGGACTTCAAAGCCTCGAGCTGAGCATACACCTGAAACGCGGCGGAAGCAGCAGCTGCTGCTGCTTGCTCTTCCTCATGGAAGGAGGGCCCCAAGAAGACCCCCACCAATTGCAGCCACTGCAGCAGCAGCAGCAGCAGCAACTGCAGCAACACCTCGCACAGCAGCAGCAGCAGCAGCCGCAGCAGCACAGGCACTTTGGCTTCTGGAGAAGGTCCCGCCACGCAGGGATGCATGCCCCCCTAGGGCA